CTGGTAGTCCAACTTCATGTTAAGATTATCGCTTAGTGGTATTTGTTTACCCTGGCAAAAAATACATCAAAATAAAGTTTTTTCATATATTTGTTATTTTTTATGATTCAAGTAACAATTTGATTAAATCAGGCAAGTTTGTGTATGAAAGCATGATTTTTTTCTTCATTTTTTCATATAAAATTCCATGTTGATCAAAAAAATTTTATTAGTGAGTGACACTTGACCCCCTGTAGATCCGCAATGTCCTGTAACTGTTATAAGTGACATATTAATATATTAGTCACAGGACATTGTGGTGTTTGATGGCAGTTGATCATCAAACATATGTTACATCAATATAACAAATTATTATGTGTGGATTTTTTTAGTATCTTTATCATATATTTCAATACATTGTAAATGTTGACAACAAAATTCAACTAACAATATATTTTTTTGAAAATATGAATTATAAAAAGAAATTTCTATTAATTTATCAGTTGCAATGTAAATTTTTATGGTAAAATTTAATAATAAATTGAATAATTTTAAACCATGATAACTTTTTTTTTTTATAATAAAATTAAACAAAACTTTTTATAGTTTTGTTGTTTAAGTCTTCTATAATAAAGTTACAGAGAGCTTTTTTCCCTATCTCATTTGGTTATAAAGTTTTCCTATTAGCAATCTTTTTTCAATTTCTTTAGGATATATAAAAAAAAAACTCTCTATAATCTAAAGGCTTGTTCTATTTACTATAATTTCCCTTAGTTTCATGTCTGTATCTCTTTATTTGAAGGCTCTGATACAATTTTTATTTATATAGTTTTTATGTACAGTGTGTTTCAAAAAAAACCGGAAAATTATTGTTGCTGGAAAATTTTTGTAACTTTCGCTAAAAAAACAATCTAACTTATTTCAAATAAAATTTAAACAAAGATTTGCTTTTTAAAGTTATTTTAAATCATTTTCTAACCGAATCTGATGTTTAGTTTTTGAGTAATTAGCTTTTAAAATGCGCAATATGGTTGAGTTCTACTTTTTTTTTTCCAATTATATTATTAGATAAAAGGGATACATCTACCTGATAAACACATCACATTATGAGCATTTCATTCACAAATATCTATTTCAATATTAATATTAATAAGTTGAACGAAATAGGTGATTTGGCTCATATATAGAAGAGTTGATTGTTGGTTCACAGTTGAGATCACGTGATTTAATACAATTTATCTACTGGTTTTTTTTGTTTCTTCAAAATATTTAGTAACCATTTATCAAATAATGAAATAAAAGTCAAAATTTTCAAGGTCTGGGACAATTCATTATTAAAAAAACGAGATCTAATTCCTGATTTGTTTCAAATTAGTTTAATTTGATCAAAAAATCAAGATGTTGGTTTATTAATTAAAACTAATAGTGAAAGCATTTTGTATTAAAGTATAGTTAATAAAAAGTACTGCTATTAATCTATCGAATGGGCCATTTTTCATACAAATCAATGCAGTGGTTGTTCCACAATGATTGATTTAATTTTTCCGGTTTTTTTTGAAACACACTGTATATTTTTATTTTTTCAAAAAAAAAAGTTTGTTATTGATCGGCATCATGTTACATCACCTAACTTTGATTTAATTAGGGCATCTCACACCCACCGTTTTATATCAAGCTAGATAATTATCTGCTGTATAGAGCTTTAGGCTCGATTATAACACCTATTACTATCGCATTATTTATTATATGATCTTTTTTTCGATGGTGATGTACTGAAATCACGAGGTTAATACATACGCTAATACTAATTGGTATATTTATATTATTGGCTCCCTTTACAGGCAAACGTGTAACACAATGAGAGCTTTGAAATATCATGTGATCCATATTACCCGATCTTTTTTTGTTGCGAAATTATTACATGTCATTACCGTAAAGTCTGGAAAGATAGCATCCCCTACTTTAAAACAATTGAGCGTCAATATAAAAAAATTGTTACACATGTAAAAAGGGGATGCTATCTTTCCAGACTTTACGGTATTACATAGTAAAATGACTCCACAACTAAAGGAATTTTTGGGAAATCTCTATAGCTTTGTCCCTTAGCTTGTGAAAAACAACGAATTTCCTATTTTTATTTTTAGTTATAACCATTTTTGAAAATTGTCGTGTTAAGGTGAGCTTGTACTATATGTTATTGGATGATGGCATTTACTTTGATGAGCATATGGTGTATAAAGTTCCGCACCATTAATGGTTCAAAAAATCAAAGGGGGGTGAATTACGCACAAAGTTTATGGTAAATGTGGCGCAATAATTCCAGTAAAGTTTATTATTATTATTATTATTAATTATTATTAATTTATTTTTTACATATATTAATATTAAAAAATTTAAACCATTTCCTCTATTATAAGAAATAAAATATATAATTTTTTTTTAAGTTATTGTTATGTTTAATAATTATTAAATGAAAAATCTAAATATTATTTTTTTTTATTAAACAATTTTTCTTTATTAAATAAAGAAATTTTAAAAAAATTAATAAACCCAAACTAATTAATTAATTAATGGTCTTCACTATCTCTTAATCTAACTCTTTCTTCTGAATTATTTTCACTATCAATATCTCGATATCTGGTATTTTGACTTCTTTCTCTAATGTTTTGTTGTAGTTGATCTGATGATTGTCGACTTTGTTTACCTTCTTCATTTTCTTCGTCACTATCACCAAAATGATCAACATCATCTGATTGGAATAGTGGTGTCTCTATAACCAATTCCCTATTAAATATAAGATTAATGATTTAGCATATAGTAATGAATATTAAATAATAATAGTTTTTTAAAATTTACATTTCGTTATTTTCAGCTTCGACAGCAGCTTTCATTGCTTGACTAGTTGTAGTTCTTCTACGCCTAATAAGTTTTCCTCTAAATACCCAGATTACTAAACCAACAACACCAATTATTACAATTATAAGTGTAGCAGTTCCACTAAAAAACAATAGTAATAAATAAATTAATATTTTTGGCAACGATTGATAATAATGATGGCACAATGATTTCTTACGCGTTATAATATTTGTCCCAATCTTTTGTATTATCTTCGGTAGGATTATCTCCGGTAATAATATCCTATATAATAAATGGATAATTATTACATACACTATTTTATATTTATATTTATATACTATCACATAATTAATACTAACCTCGGTTCCAATTTTAGAAGTAAAGGCTTGTTTTGTTAAATTGCCATTTAATCCGATGAATCTGTAAATAATATCCAAACTTTGAACTGGTGCATCATATGGTACCATATGACTTGCTTTATATATAACTGCATATGTAAGATTTCTTTCACTTGTCACCTCACCGACAATTTCATCATTAATATACCAAGGTTTCGCTGTATTATTCTATAAAATCAATAATATTGGATGAGGTGAATGGACAAACGAACCAACGAACTAACGAATGGATGAATCAATCAACCCATCAATCTATCTATCATATATAAACTGTATTACGCACCATAAATCCTTTAGATCCATTCCACTCCAAATTGCTTATCATATCTCTTATTCCATTTACATTGCAAACGAAATCTTGATCACCACTTTAAAAAAAAATATTATTGAAAAAAAGATTAATAATCAATATTGTTCAATAAAAAATATAGAAAAGTATAGTAATATTTATATACTTGTATAATAATACGTTAATATTTTTCAAAAGATCTGGCAACAGCTAGATAAAAAAAATACATTAATTATTATTAGTAAGTTTTACATGAATCACCAACATCAATATATATGTGTGTGTGTGCGCACACACACAGGCATATACACATATACATACAGTGACTGATGGTGGTGATACATCGTCGTTGAATAGACGTCCAACACCCCCATTACATTCAACCCATCCAAGTTGTTGGGAGTCTGCATGAATTGCTCCAACAACATCCGTTCTCTAAAAAAAAAAAATAATTAATTCTATATAGATTATATTATTTCAATATAGAAAATATAATAGTGATAGTCACTCTTAAATATGATCTAATTGTTGTTAGTTCATATGGCCAATTTATTCCACATGACGGAAAAGTATCAGTATAATCTCTAATATCATATTGATTAATACAATTGTCATCATTGCCACTCCTACTACATTAAAAAAAAACCCACAAAATCATTATTATTATTTGGAGTATTTTTTATAATACCTTTCTATTCCCAATTAAATATTAACAAATACAATACCTTCGGCGTGAACTTTCTAATACTGTTGAAAGAATATCTTCACAAGAATCTAAATGTATTTGTACTTGTTTATTCAACATACCCTTACATGTTTCCAATTGCTTTTCTGCAAGAGTCTTTAGTGTAAATATTAGTATATGTATATAATAATTAATTAGTATATTGTTAGCAGATGAATCATTATTTGTTTACCTTATGTTCACTATCTAAAAGATTTTTTTCCACGGCAAATGTGTAATAAGCATTATACTAGAAATATTAATTAATTAATATCATATGAATGTATTAAAAAGTCTGATATGTATAATCAATATTAATAATGATATTTTACCTGACTAACTGGATCTATCCATCCATTACCAATTGCGATGCCTTTTATATTGTACTTTAGAATAAAATTATAATGATAGTATTAATTTAAATAATTCAATCTCATTATACATAGTGCATTAAATAAATAAATAAATAAATACTTTTAAAAGTTCGGAAGTTTTTCTTTTATGATTACGATCTATAATGGCTTTTGCAATATAAGGTATAAAGGTCCCCGCATAACTTTCACCAGTTAAATAAACCTGTGTTGGAAATTTTTTATGGAAAGAAAATTCAATATATTAATTAATTAGTAAATCATCGATCAATTTTTAGAGGGGTATCTCTCTTACTTCATCTTGAGAAAATTCAGGAAATATTTCAAAAAATTTATCCAAAAAAAGCAAAAATTGAGTTGGAATCTAAATAATATTAAAATAACTACGTTAATAATAATAATTAAAGTCAATATAATTTATTGTTATTATTATTGCTAAATATTCACCTGCGTAATATTTGTTAAATAATTATTACTATCTGCAAAACTGAATCCAGTTCCAGCAGGTTGATCAACTAATTCATAAAAAAAAATTTATCTAATTAGTAAATATTAATAATAATAATAATAATAACAATATTGCTAAAATTATCTTTATCATTATTATTATATTATTATTGTTATTATTATCATTATTATTAAAAGAATATCGATATACCATATAATACGTTCGCATATTCATTCCATGAACTGCTAGTCGAGTTCAGTGTTTGATCAGAATTCATTCTCCAGGGTCCATTTTCAAGAAATACTCCGTCCATACTAATTAATTGTTTTTTAAAAAATTTATAAGTTATTTGGATTATTTAAGTAATCGTGTAATTTGATTATTATTATTATTATTATTATTATTATAATTAATTACCTTGAACTAAAATTTTATATTAGGAATTAAATAAGGGATTGTTTAATATTAAAATTTTTTTCCTGAAATCAATAATTAATTCTTTAATCTAATCGAAACTAATGTCTCTTCTCTCTTACCATCCAGGGCCTAAAAAATTCAATTATAAATTAATTCATATTATGATATTATTATGAGGTCAATTACATTATTCTAATTACTAACCTCCATTAAGCCAAATGATCTTTTGGATCGAATATTTAAAATTTAAAAATTAATATTATCTTATTCATTAAATAAAAATAAATGATCGATGATTTAATTAAATCAATTAATTACCAATCTTGATTTATCAGCAATATGTTTATTATGAAACAACCAAAAGAATATATTGGTATTTGTCTCTTTATTAATTTTAATATGTCTAAATTAATATAATTAATAAATTTAATCATTCGGGATTGTGAGCTTTACAAAGTTAATAATTATGAACAATCCTATTTACCCTGCATGAGTTTTCAATAAGTCTTGGTTGTCAGGAAGTCCAGGAAGTGATTTAACGAAATAATCTGCGGCTATTAATTAATGAGGAAGGAAAGTACGGGTTTTTAATATTTGGTTAAAGTCTCAGCAAGATGTGCTTAGCATTAGCAGATGTAAATTAGATGGATGAGTATAAAAAACATATATATATAACAAACCATTTTGTGCGTATGTGAACCCTCCTGAGGTTATTATATTAATAATTAATATATTAAGTATTAAAAGTATACTATTAAATACTTTCATTTTTAAATTTAATTTTTTGAAGAAATTTTTTAATGATTGATTTACGTGTGTAACAATCGTAAATTAATAAAAATTTTGGCAGCACAAATAATACACTTATGAGGAGGCTTCAAAAGAGTCCCATTATTATATATATAGTTACTATAGAATATTTTTGGACAAGATTTGCATTCAGCAAATTAAATTCACGCGCCCAAAATTTCAACGGCCACATATTAATATTAATATTAACACGGTTGAACCTTATTACGTTTCATAAGAAAAAAAAAAATAGTTTTTCTCATTGCATTTGGCCTTTACAGGATTTTTCTTCAAGTATTTACCATCGTAATATACTTAATCTCGAAAACACAAAGGAAATATTGTCTCGTTACTTGTACATTAAGTCAAGCCATGTTGGTAAAATTAGGACAATCTTAAGAGCGAGTTGTCTTATTTTTAACGATGTTTATTATCTTGAGTTACAACTGGCTGAATTCGTCATATCTGTCTTTGGGAACAACAAAACAATGTTCAACATTATTTTCTAGTTTTCTTTGATTTTAACATTATACTTTATCGGATATTTGGAGGAGTTAGTGAGTCAATACCCTCAGATTGGTGTTGATAAAAGACACACATACAATATCTGTTTATTCGATTCCATCAACCTTGTAATAAGTTTTCTATTTAAGATTTTTAAGAGTCAAAGTACCCCTATTGCTGTTGGTAGATGATGCCCAGGGTCAACCAGCTCACATATTTCAAACGTTCCATTTCTTGTAAAAACATGCTTAGTAATTCTCAAGTAGAAAAAGTCCACAAAATCCTGCGTATTACCCAAGGCCTCAGCTTGATGACAAATTTCTGCAACTCTATAACCAACACAAGAACCAAATTATCCCACTTTGTTTGGATTATCTTGTTAACATGACTTTGTAGAGACAGCATTTCTGCCTCCACTCAAATCAGATCCTTCAAAAAATGAATAAAGTGCAAATCCTAACTTCTGTCTCTCTTCTGCTGCATGCATCACCTCATATTTCATAAAGTTTACTAACATAATCAACATCAATGTTGACGTGGAATTCGTTATTTTGAATCCTTACCAATATCCGAGCTGGAATAGCTAAAGGATTGTTCTTTGCTTCATCAATCTTGGATCTTTCCAGGCCGTCATTTAGTGTAAACCTAACATCTCTATCTGTCCCTTTTTTTCATAGACAATTAATTGTTTTTCCCCAGAACATAGATGAGATAATAGGAAAATCAAGATTTCTCAATGCAATGATTGCCATTACCAGTTCTTGAATTTTGCGTTATTAAAGAAGCTTAGGTAGAATTTGCAGATCATGAGAATTGAAGGTGTATCACCAGTGTTGACATAGAACTTCTTTCTTCTGGGAGGCAAAAGAACTTGTCTTTATCAGCTTTCCACAAATCAATCTATGGGTGTTTTATTGGTTGAGTCTTTTGTTTGCTGGCTCTGATTACAAAGTAACGAGAAACAACATAACACAAATCAGGTTATGAACCTTCAGAAATCAATCTAGCATATCAACCAAGATAAGTCTAAAGTTGCAGTATTCTATAAATAGACAAAGTTCAAGCGATTGTATATTTCTTTAGTACTCCCAATACTACCAAAAATTAAGTTCAGTGATGCTAATATTCATATGATTTTATAAATTTTTTTGTTTTTTATTATTACAATATTAAAACCTATTTTGTACAATAATAAATATGATTTAAATTTATATTCTATTAGGTACAATTGAAAGAATAGAATTAAAAAAACATACTGTAAAGAACTCTTTTTATTTCGTGCCTCCTGTTGTATAATATATATATGTAAGTAATATTAGCTTTGAATAGATATAAATGATTTGAAGGATTTTAAAGATTTTGTGATAATTTAAATCAAATCAGGAATTGTGAAACCAAGTTGTTGAGTATCTATAATAATAAATAGAACAAATGCAAATGAATAAAAATATAGTTGTATTAATGTAAAATTGCCAAAATTACCTTTGATCGAGTCTAGATTTCCAAAATCCATAAGCCTACTAGTATAAACAGCCTTATCATGTAATTTTGAAATTAGTTTATTTGAATTTTTAGACTTAATTCTATCACAAAATCCTAGTATATCGGATTCTTCTAATTTTCTTTATGTCTATCAACAAAAATATATTTATTAAGAACTTACTATATTAGGTCAAATTTTTGGATTTGCGTCCCAACATTGTTGCATTAACTCAAGAAAAAATTCTGGCATAACATCAATAATTGGTGGACGAAAACCCTGACAAATTTTCATTGCTAAATCAAAGTCATGTGGCTGATCAGAAAATGCTATTTGGCCTGAAGCGACCTCCCACATAAGGATACCAAAACTATACATATCTGAAGCTTGTGTATAAGGTTGCTTAAGTAAAACCTCAGGTGCGGCATAAGGTAAAATAGCAAATATGCCATCATTTATCGAATTAACTTTACAAGTTAAACCAAAATCGTCTACCCTTATCATAGGTACGAGAATTGTAGAAGAATCCTCATCATCATCATCCAACATTATATTGCCATTATGTAGATCACGATGAACCAGACTAGCTCGATGTATTGTGAAAAGAGCAATTGACATTCTCACGAGAAGATAAAGTTTAGTTTTCCATAACATTTTATTTCCAAACGATTTGCCTAATGAATCACGTAGCGCGCAAACTGTGTTATCATCATGTATTCCTTTGTTTCTAGATTATGGGTTATTCCATAATATCTTATAACATCATTATATCCATCAAAACTTTTCATTGCTACATATAATAAATGGATAAATTATAATTTAGAAGAAACTTTTTTTAAACCTCCCACTAAACTTACCGCAAATATAACTGTTAAGTTGTAATAAAAAATAACATTGATAAGATATAACATAGATTTTATTAAAACGAATTTTAAACTTTGAATAATTCGAAAAAGAAACTTGCCTCAGAAAACCATTCTTCCATATTTAGTCCCAATTGATTAATACTTTTAAGAGCAACAGGATGATTCTCTTTTCTAGAAAAAATTTCGATCTTATCTCGATCAAAGGTTTTCGGCCCGTCCAACCATATCGCAGAATACACTTTCCCGTATCCTCCTTTTGCTAAATAATGAACATTGACTAGTCTTTCGTATGGAATCCATTCTAAATACTGGCACCATTCAGTTGCATCAAGTTGAATGTCTTGAATACATTTGTCTATCGTTTGGTTACCACATGACCAATTAGAAAACTCGTCTTGAAAATACGAGGGAAGACATAGATGACAACAATAAGGATACTTATTTTTTATATTACATTTAGGACAATTATCCATTTTGAAAAAACTTTGTTAGGAAAATTGAATTGAAAAAAAAAGGATTATTTTAACAGCACCGATATATATATATATTAATATTAACATATTTATTTAATTATACAGACAGAGCACAAGTGAGAAAAATAATGCCATTTTTGTTTAACAGGATAAGTTCAAAAGTTTTTTGTTTGTTTGTTATGTGTTCCACGTGATTTGGTTGTTTCTCTAAAAGGTAAATTTCTAGAAACTAAATTCCTATAAAAGAATTACTAACATCTTACATTGAACTTGTAACCAATCCTAACGATCCTGCATCAGGCCTCTAGGCTCAAGAATTTCCACAAATCTTTGTCTAAAATAGTGAGATACTTTCCTTTATATTCACATTAACGCGAATTATCTTCCATTTAGGGCTTCTATTCGAATTACTCGTTTCATTCGTTATGAATTTGAGTATTCAAATTACATTGAAAGTTTATTCGAATAAATTTTTTAATTCGAATAAAATTAATGATTCGAATAAAACTAGCAATTCGAATAAAATGAGCGATAATAATAAAATTATCCAATCCAATTAAAATTTTTTATCTATTTTTCCTTAGTCCTTGAATATAGTGATAATAATAAATAGTAGTAGCTGACATTTTCCTTAAGTCATAGTACTAGCAATTATAGTAGTATTATAGCTTGTAAATATAATTATTGTTTATATCATCTTGTTAGAGAAATAAGACCTATATTTTATAAAATGAATAACTAGTAATTTGGATAAAACGAATAAAATGATAAAATGAATAATCCGAATCAAATGAATATAACGAATAATTTTTTTAATTCAAATAAGGATTCGTATTACCAATAGAAGCCCTAATTCCATTCTTAAATATAATCTACAAGACTGCCTTCTGGATAAATTATATATATCTCGTATGGATACTAATAACCCATTACCATCTTATACAGATGCTATGGGCACTCGGAAATTATCGGTAAATCTAGAAAATGTAAATATTGCGACTAACATTCTGGGTAATAATGTTAATACTGAATTGGGAAAATTTGATATTGAGAGTAGTGTGGATAATACTCCAGATAATGTGAGTGATTTATAAAGAAATCAGGCCAAATAAAAAAAATAGATGTATAATTCCATCCGAATAAACATTTCCATGCCGGTATTCCCCTTTGATAATTATTTTAACTTCCATAACCTTGATCTTCTGCTATCCAATTCTCAAGTGTATAAGTGTATATTTACCTCCAATATATTCCCTGATCGTAACTTCTTTGCAAAAACCTGAAGGGATCCTATAAATATTTTTGACTTTATTTTAACCAAACTCGATTAATTAGCACATTTTTTTGATTGTCGTAAATGCATTTACATTGTTTTTTTCTGCTTTATTATACTTGTTCTATATATCCAAAGAAGATGTAGAAAGAGATGGGTAAAAACGGTTTAAAGAAAGGTCAGTGTATCAAATCTATTTATACTAATTGCTTTTATTTTATAAATTTTATTATAAATTTTATTAATAACATTTCAAACACATTAACATTTTTTTAAGCGTTTATAATGTTGAACTTGGTATCGCAAATAGAAATTTTTTTATTAACTGGACCTTTAAGTGCTGTTTGCAGTACATTAGTTATTTATTTAGCGATAGAATGTAATACATTGGATGAATATAATACTATCAGTGATTTAGCGGAACAAAAATAAATGATAACGATCAAAAGTTAAAAACATCGAAATATTACCACAGGTTAGTTACATATTAAAATAAGGTTTTTTACTTGATTATATTAATGACGATACTACAGAAGATAAATAGGCCGTTTGACTGGTTGTAGCTGAAGACTGGGGAATGCCGACCCGGAATAGCGATGGTTTTAGGGATGAAAGTCCCTCGAGGTGTCAAGAGCACTGCTACCTCCCCGGAGCAGATTCCCTATCCTATATAACTTGGTTAATATTTATTAATAGGCCTCTTAATATAAATTATAATATATTCAACGCTTTTATTGCTTTCAACCGTAATACGCTTTTATATCTAGATTGCATCTACAACAGATAATATATGTTAGTTTTGCGCGAAACGTTTATTTATATATATGCAAATCAGATATCTAATCCCAGTTAACTACAAAAGAATTATATATTTTTTTTTGACTATATATAAAGTTACGCACGGTCGGATAATTCACGTCGAGAGATTAAGTCAACGGGTAGGAGGATCTACCTATATTGTAATTGTACAAAATTGAATGTGAAAATTGACCATGTGATATATAATAAAACGCGCGACTTATCTTTTATTATTTGTTTATAAATTATATAGATAATAGGACCTCGGAAACTTCTAATTGAGATCCCAGGCAGACAAGGTAAAAAACATATAGAAAAGTGAAAATGAATGTCATTACTTGGTGGTGTTGATGATGATCTAGGTTGTTGTATGGTAGTGATTTTCACAATTAGCCAATGTAAATTTAGTATGTAAAACCTCTCAAATTGCCTGAAACCTTAAAATTAGAAGTTTTCAATATTCTAATTTTTGTCACTCTGCTTAGATTTATTAATTTCTAATAAATCTATCACTTATATAGAAACCAGTGTCCCAGTCGAACGAGTTTTTTCTGGGCATCAAAGACGTTGTAGCTTAGAACCTAAAATAATAATCATAAGATTTTGTATGTGTTTAAAAAGTTGGTTACGGCAATGAATTTGTTTTTAATAAATATAAATAATTTGAAATGGATCATGATCTCCATTCTAATTTTAGGACTTTCGCTACAACAATCAAACCTCGTTATGACGAACGTAACCTAATTAAATACGTGTTATAACAAACCCGTTAACACCCGTTATAACGCGACTAATGAATTTGTTATTATTATAACGATTTTTAAGTGTCTAAATCCTTTATAACGAGGGCTGACTTCATGTATATAAAAACAGGATCCTTCAAACATTTCTAAATCGTAACACGCATTCAGCTACAAGTTATTATAATTTTTTTGTGAAGTTATTATGTATAGATTTGTATAGTTAACGAATTTTAGGATGCTCGAAATTTTTGGTTCAAATGTAAACCGAACCGTTCGGAGCTTTGGTAATAATTGCTTATTTGCAAAGAAAACAAAACAAAAAATCATAGGATAAATTAATAACATTAAGTGTTGTCATGTGGCAACTGTTCTTTCTGTTGTAGTGTTAATTAATATACATATCTGTATTGATAATTAGCTGGTATATTACTTTTCTTCCGATTTTCAGGTTATATCTTTGTGTTAATGTTCTTTTATCAGAACTTACGTACGAACCGGCTCGGACCGATTCGAATCATAGTCAAAAAAATTTTTTGATTCGAATATTCGATGACTCGATTTGAACCATCAATTATTCGAACGATTCGAACCAATTATATAAATTTTCAGTGATAAAAATTTAACTGTTATCAAATTGAAAATTATTATGCAAAGGTTAAACATTTTCCCTTTTCAATTATTGGAACAAACTTTACACTTAGCAAACTCATCATGTTCACCTATTAAATTATAATGATCTCTAGTACTAGCTCTCCACACTCTACACCTCCTTTTTTTTTTGTGGCTGATTGGAACTAATTAAAACAGGCAAAGATTGTGGTAATTGTAAACTCATCATTTGTTTAAATCATCCATGGGAAATTTTTACGACCAAATTCGCTGAAAATCTTTACTTAAAAACCAAATATTCGAATGATTCTATCCCAAATTACTGATTCGTAAGCTCTATCATATGATTTTTCTTTCTTATAAATTTCATAAGTAATCTTTCCTTTTCTTAGAGCTTGTGCATTTATTTTAAAGAAATTTTTTCACCTTGTTCTCTCTTCAAAATATTTCTAATTCTTGGGTTCCATGGTGGATTTGATATAAATGAGTTTATATTAATTATTTTTTTTACATATAGTACTTGAGAAAAAACAAAGATAACAAACGGGACATAAATTGTTTAATAATAACAACCACATTTCATTGGTTTGTTTCATGCCCCATATATATTTTTTTTATTTACAAGTATCAGATAAAGGATATCAACAATAGATGCTTTCTTCAGTTCTGCATTACGAAACAAATATTTGGGTCTTTGCCATTTGCTCTGAGCTTAATAATTCATCTTTATCAATGAGATTTGTCATCAATACAATTAAGAGATTTTGTGAAAATAAACTTATTATTATAAATTTAAAAGACATTGTCGTTTGTGTATCAAATAAGTGCTAATCAAAAAAAGTTGCAAGTCTTCTTCATGCTAATATTAATATGGTGAAATTCGATTGAGAAAAAGTTTGAAATCGAAAATCAACCATCGTCATCAGATCTAGTGTTAAATAAGAAAATAATGTAACATTTCACAAAAAAACAATAAATGCCTTTTTTGGCTATCAAATAGTTTGTTCGAAAGTATTTTCATTAGAGAAAGTGTAATATTTTTTTTAAAAAAAAAAGGTAAATTTCTATGTTTATTTGGATTAATGTTAATTACCTGATAATCGAATAAAGGTTTGGAAATTTTATTTGTCACAATTAAGTAATAGTTGTCAAAAAAAAAAAAACGCCCATCACTGGTCGCACGATGACAGTGTGGTAAAAGGCAATGACATATGTAAATAATAAATAAAGTTAGTTTAAAAACCTTTCCTTGTATATATATATTTAGAAATAAAAATTCTTATTTTTCCAGATCAAAAAAAAATTTTAAAAATCATAATTATGAATACTAATAACACGGCGGCAAATGAACAACAAAATGCTTCTGTTGAAACATTTTCTTCCGCGGCAATTTTTAATGGTGCTTTAGCGATTAGTATGTTTATTGCTTTTGAATTAGTAAGAAAAAGAAATAAAAAAATTTACGAGCCAAGAACTTATTTATTACCTGAAAGGTAAATTGAAAGATTTGTTTGAACTGATTTTTTTCAATGAGATTCCTCATATATTCTCGTCGTCATCTCTAGTAAACGTACGCCGGCTGCATCAAGTGGGTTTCTTAGATGGATAGTTTCGACAAATTCGCTAACTGACGATCAAATAATACGACGGATTGGATTGGATTCTTACATGTTTATAAGATTTCAACGTCTTTTCATGATAGTATTTGCTATTTTCTCTGTTCTTGGGATAGCTGTAATTTTACCAATCAACTATTTCAACTATCACGAGCAAAGTTCTCCTGGTGTCTTAGAAAAATTTACCATTGGAAATATAGGTAATGAGAATTCCAATAAGTTATGGGCCCACGCTCTAATGTCTTATGTGTTCACTGGTAGGTGGCATTTGAATTTTGTACGACTAAATTACATGAATAAATGCACGTGATGATGTAATTTTTTATTCAAATAAAAAAAAGGTATTGTGGTGTACATGTCACACCGTGAATTAAATCATTATATACGACTAAGACATGAATTTCTATCGTCCCCTGGGCATAGAACATCACCTAAAGCTACCACAATATTAGTAACGGGAATTCCCAACGAACTAAATAATGAGAAATCACTAAGATCACTTTTTGGGATTTTTCCTGGTGGCGTTAAAAATATTTGGATAAATAGGTAAATTTTATGATTAAAATATTTGATGAATTTTGCGTCAGTATTGACCGTTATCGCATGATTCCCAAAATGTAAATATAGAGACCCTGGCAAACTTATTAAAAAAACAAATGAAAGAAAAAAGCTTGTAACAAAATATGAAGGAGCGGCAACTCAATTAATAATCAATCATTCTAAACAACACGAAAAAAAAACTGATAACACCAATGATGATAACACCAATGGTGATAACACTAATGATGATAACACTGAGAAAATACGACCTGTGCACCGCAAGATACCGGTTGTTGGCAAGAAGGTTGATTCGTTGACTACGTATCATACGAAATTATTGGATTTGAATCAGAGTATAAATGATTTGCAAAAAAATCCAGTAACTTTCAAAAAATTGAATTCGGCATTTATACAATTCAACAATTATATCGGCGCTCAATTGGCTGCTACTTCAATACGGCCTAAAAATTTGAATGATATTGCAGCAAAAGATGTTATTTGGGATAATTTGAATTATACCAAGAAACAACTAATGATCAAAAAAATTGTTAGCATCTTAGCTGCATCTGCCTTAGCATTACTTTGGTTTTTACCTGGTAAACAATAAATTTTTTTTTAACTATTAATTACTAAATATTTTAAATATTCTAAATATACATTAATCACTATTGTTTTTTCTTTATATATAGTTACATTTTTGGCATTGATAAGTAAATACGAAAATCTTACAAAAATTCTTCCATTTTTAAAGTCTGGAGTATTACCACAATCAATTACTGGACCAATTCAGGGTATTATACCGCCTGTAGGCTTAGCAATATTAATGACAATTTTGCCTGTAATTCTAAGAAGTACCTATTGTTTCTTTTTATTCTGTTTTTTTTTTAGTCAAATTTATTCTATAATTAATTTTGTTAATTATTATATATCCCATGCATTTATTTAACACAGTCTTATCAAAATTTGAGGGAATAGTGACACATTCCAGAGTGGAAATAAGTGTACAACGAAAATATTTTTTCTTTTTAGTAGTGAATGTATTGCTGGTGACAGCATTGGCAAATGGGGTATTATCAGCGTTACCCCTCATTTTAAATGTAGGGGATACGGTCAACGTTTTGGCCGCAAAGTTACCAGCAGTTTCCACTTTCTTCCTAACCTATGTATTTTTGTCATTATCGGGTTCAGCAATGGAATTATTACAAATTGTTCCATTGATAGTCTATTTGATATCTAAAAGATTTCTGGCAAAAACTCCAAGAAACATTTATCATTTGGAAAAAGATATGAAGTATGTCGAATGGGGTACTAGGTTTCCTACACATGTTTTAATGGCTTCGATAGGTGAGATTTTTATGATTATTTAAAATTGTTTTCCTCCAAAAAAAAAAAACAAACCTAAAATTTGAAATTTAAATTTTTACATCACACACACATATAATATACAGGAATTGTATATTCGACAATTCAACCATTGATACTTCCGTTGGTTTTTCTACATTTCACATTCTATCATTTCGCTTACAAATACAACTTTTTATATGTTTACAAACAACCAAACAAGTCAGGCGGATTATTATTTCCACCAAGTATTTATCAAGTATTCGTCGGCCTTTACATTTCTCAATTGACGATGATAGGACTAATGTCATTGACAACAGCCTTTTACCCTGTTATTCTTATGATTATTCTATTCATCATTACCATTGCTGCATTATTTTGGATGAAACAAATATTTAATGTTAATCCAAGAGCTGAATTTTTGCCGGCTGATTTTAAGGGAACCGTTGATGTAAACACAGGAAAATTAATAATCAACCAAACCGTTAATGAAAGTGGAAGTGGATTTGGAGGAACGCATGCGCCGATTGGGACAAAAGAACTATCAACAGATAATGGTGAGGACGATGAAGATGATTATTGTAATCAAGATTTTGATGGTTTGGATGTTGTTAATTTGGATGTTGGTGGCAAAATATCAACGATTTATCTGCATCCGGCTATAAAATCAATACAACCTGCTATATGGTTACCGAAAGATGATAATGGCACATCAGATAAAGAGGTTTCTGATTGTTTGAATGATGGAATTGACGCGACGAATCAAGGAGCAAGTATAAACGATAAACACAAAGTTGTCGTAAATGACTTCAGCCGAATACCTAGAGGATCACAAGTTGACACCGATGGTTCTGTTGCCAATAATATTGCATTAGTTTTATAACTAGTAATTAATTTTCCAGATGACACTAGAAATAAATATTTTCATAATATTGTTTTTGCATGAAATTTAAACATGACGTAAAATAATTGGCAAGAAACCAATTAATTTCGAAACACTTTGAATTTACTAGTGTTACATTACAAAAATTTTATTCTATTTATTGGTGATTCTTTTATTTTTTATTTTGTGTAATTTGACCAAAATTTAATCGGGGAATTGTTGTTATTGATTTTTATTGACGTATAAAATAACAATAATAAACAAATATAAATATTTGTACATAAAGATTATTGTGTTTTTTTTTAACGTATATATATATATAAATATAAATCTGTAATCTTTTATTTTACACAATTTAATTTATGAATTTTCTCTCCTCTATCGTTTTAATAAAAAACGAATAAAATATCAATCTTATATAATAAATATTTACACTCTTTTGTTTATTTAAAATAATTTCCTTTCCTCCCCCTACTAATGAAAATTTAATATTTTTCAACAACGTTTGTCAAGAACATCGTGTAAAAAAATCATCAAATTATAACACAACTCTAAAACAATCCACCAATTTCCTCGCTAATCATAATTACAATTTAATGGAAGAAGAAACTATATCATTATGTTTTACAATTACAAGTATTAGCATCAGTGCTATAGGATGTTGTATTTTAACATATCACAATATCATAAAGGTTACATGTTTACGAATGGCATGGTTAGTTGGATCCCGTGATAAGTTTCTTTAACTAAAAAACTCTTGATTTTCTTTCTTTCCTTATTTATTTATTATTTTTTCTCCCCATTGAAACTGACAGCTTGATCTCAGGAATTACAACACTGCTCTCGGCAATTCTAAACTTTTATCGTATCAAACAGGAATCTCATTTCATAATAACAACTTTCTGGTTTCATCATGAATTATTCGCGTTGATCTACTCGACAACAATTTGGTCGTGTTTATTATTAGCTGGGAGAAAATTATATGACGGACGAAAACATTGGAACACACCATTATATAAAATAACCATAATAATGATAGTATCGTTAGATATAATTTATTTGTCAGGTGCCATTTTATCATTAGAACAATTTAACGGAGATCCCAACTTGCCACTTTATATGTTGCAATGTGCAATGTGGATTATTTGTGGAATTTGTGGATTCTTGTTCACGTTCGAACCGATTTTGTTAAATATCGTTGCTTTTTATAATCACAATAAAAGTTATTCTATTGCTGGTATGCCTACAACTACAAAATTCTCTGACACTAATGATAATACAACAACTTGTCCATCATCACCGTTACCACAATCGCCATTATCATCATCACCATCATCATCATCATTATTACCATCATCACCATTACCATCTTTGCTATTACCACCATTACTATTACCATCATCATCATTACCATCATCACCGTTACCATCACCATCGTTACCATCATCACCATCTTTGCTATCACCATCATCACCATCATCATTATCACCGTTACCATCATCATCGTTACCATCACCATCGTTACCATCACCATCGTTACCATCACCATCATCATCATTATCATCACCACCATCAACATACGAGATATTAAAATCTGCAATAATTCTAATACCAGGAATGAAAAGGATTCCTTACCGCGTCAACTCACAAAACTCATCGGTTGGACTTTGGTATATGACAATGATTGGATTATTGACATTAATGTATCTGATTTTCTATCTAATAATTTTCATAATTGGTGATATGGTCCCGTTTCATCCAATCAGTAATTCAATAGATTATATATTGAGAATCGGGGTGGTGTTGATTTATGGTGTGCCTCCGTTAAGTAATATATTGAGGTATCTCGAGAAAAAATTTGTTGGGGACAAGTTTTCTATTTTTGAAGAATTTGAAGGTGTTTATTATAGTAAACACAATAGTAGTATTAGTTTTAATAACTATCATCATAATAGTAAACATAATAGCATTAATGTTATGCGCAATAGCCATATCAGTCATAATAGTTATAATGCTATGCGTAGTAGTTATAATAGTGCTATTAATATTGTTACAAGTAATAATAATAGTATTAATGGTTGTGATATAGTAGAAAAGAAAGTGATAGAAAAAGGATAATGTTTATAATATTCATTCACATTCATTCATTCATTTATTCATTCATTCATTCATTCATTCATTCATTCATTCATTCATTAAAAGTTTTTTAATTGTAAAAATTGTGATTAAATATCAAAATAAAAATACAAATTTTTAAAAAATACAACTTTTAAAAATACAATTTAAATAAATTAAATACAAATTTTTTATGAAATTTTATTTTTCGTTGCTATATTCTCTAAATGTTCTATTAACATCTTCATTTTCTCTTAGTTCTTTACTATCTTGAAATAATGTAAATGGCGCTATCTGACCATATTGTTTTACTTTTTCCATAAATTGTTGTAAACTTGTTGCTGCTGCTACTGAAGATGAAGATGAAGACGATGATTTATCCGGTATAATTGGTGTCATTGGGGTAATTGGAGTGATAACTGGAGATGATGATGAATACATCTCTAGATTTCCTGAAAAATAACCTCCAGTATCTTCAATATATGATGCCTCGCTGCCATTACTACTACTATTACTGCCATTCTTTTTAACATCACCAAAAGATCTAGGAGTGGAAATTTCTAAAGGAGATGATGATGATGATGATGATGATGATGATGATGATGATGATGATGAAAATAATGAAAATGATGCATTTTTATTGTCATATTCTGAGATATTTGATGATTTTGATGAGTTTTTTTGTGATTTTGAGCGTTTTTTAGTAAGAAATTTAGTTGTGACATCTCTAATAAAAATATGCAGAATTCTCCCTGGATAATTTTTTGCTATATTTGTATATCTAATATTAATGATGATGGTAATAATAATAATTAGTATTATTATATTGATTAAATAATACATTTATTTAATTAACGATCTAAACTAAATAAATGACTATTTACATTTCCATATCAATCTCACCGCTATCGCCAACTAATATGAATTTACGTTTGGGAAAATCATTCAATATTTCCTCTATATAATTCCGTTTACTTTCGCCACGTCCTTCCAACAACAAAGTTTTCATTAAATCATCATAAAATTTCAAGTGTGCTGATCCAGGTGGAAATTTTTTGTTGTGAAAGAATTTTCTTAACATTGGAAATAATTGCCATGGTGAATTAGATACATAGTGAATTGCTGCTCCTTTATCATACTGTTTGTAAATAATAGTAATAATACGTTTAATAATATTCATCAATTAAAATTTTTATAGTATAATTAATATTAGAACAAACCCATTCTTTATAAACATCGGCCATTCCATCGACTTCTTTCAATTCATTTAAAAATGTATTTGATAAAACTGTACGTGGCCCACTAGTTATTCCAGTACATTTAATCGTGTCGTCAATATCCTAATTAAAATTACATAATAAACGTATGGTTAATAAGGTTATAATCTCCCTTACAAAATAACAAAATGATAATTCTTACAGATATCACGGATATTCCCTCTTTGTCAATTAAATTAGCGAAACCATAATAAGCTTTATCAGCTATTATTTTTAGAAGTATTTATTAATTACAATAATTGATAATGATGAAATTAAATAATGATAAACAAACATTACAATGGTCTACTCCTTGTGGTTCCACCAACAATTTAAGTAATCTGACATTGGTTTCATGTGATTCCATTGCCCATCGATCTACAACTTCAACTGGTACTATAATTTCACCATAAAAATGCCCATTATTTTTTGTAATTTGTACAGGATGTACAAAACTATCTTCATCATCCTGATCATCTTTTCCTAACTTATTATTATCATCATTATCAACAACATTGCTATTGCTGGCATCATCATTATTAGTTGGGATAGTTTCACTATCTGTCTCACTTTTTTCTGATTCATAACCATCTTTAGTTTCTTTTTTTTCCTTCTCCCCTTCATCCCCTTCATCACCCCCATCCCCTTCATCACCTTCATCCTCGTCAATTTCATTATCACCACGTAAATCAAAATAAAGTTCCATATGTAGAGGATGTGCAATGCCGACAACTTTAATATTATAACGTTGATTTTTTAGATTTTTTGTTAAAAACATTCCAAATCTATCTTCTAAAATTCTACTCTTTTCCAAATCATTGGCAACTCCAACAATTCGACGTGCAACTCCTTTAAATATAATATGATGAATATATTTCGTATGATATTAATGGCATGTATGTAATTGAATTGCGATAAAAAAATTTACCTAACAAAATCCTTCTTTTACGACTTTGATTTTTGGCATATCCCCAACCTCTTACTTTAATACACCATTCCTCTTTTCCTATTATAAGTAATTATGAGAATAAAACATACATTGTTTATCAATTATTAAAAGATTGTTTGATTAATGATCACACATAATGGATTAATCATTATCATTATCATTTAGTTTCTGAAATTGGTCACATACGTGCACGCATATTTATTACACAATTATTTACCTTGTTCGTTTATTCTACGAAATCCATAAGAAGGTATTAGAACACAATGTTGTTCTATATTATTAACATCTGTGTCAACATCTTCAGTAGTAATAGTTTCTGAAGTTTGTATAATATTTAGTTCAGTCTTTCTTTCAATTTCTTCAGGTTCATGAGTAAATAATGCTTTAATTCTAGTGGATGAAGAGGTTTTAGTAGTTGAGGTTCTAGTAGTTGCAGTTGTGGAAGAAGAGGTAATGGAAGATTTTACTATTGTTTTAATAGCTTTTATCGAACGGTTGGATTTGTCAGTTAATGTCATTTTTTTAAAAAAAAGAATATAACCAAAACCAAAATAAATATTTGATAAATTCAACTAACTTAATAAACTAAACAAACTGATACAGATTATTAATTAATAATGTGATAAAATTGAAATCGTTGATCATAATTGTATGATCAACATTAAATACATATGAAAAAAGAGGTTGCATATTTCTCTTCAATAGAAAGCGAGGAAAAGTTTTGAATTTTTGGGACTTTAGGAACACAATGAATATATTTTATCACATGTGACAAAATCTAAAGCCGATCTTTTCTATTTGAAATAGAGGACTGCGCATTATTACCAGCCACCATAATGCATAATGGGACATTCGCATGTTACACGATAACCATGCATTCCAATTGTAAGATTTTAAAGCACTATTGCCAAATTTGGAAGGTACACTAACCTGTGTTCAGTAAAACGTTTTTCGTTCCTTGACTTGGTGTATAATAGTGAAAATGCATAAATAAACTACTAAAGGAAAAGCTGAAGAAGAGTAGTGTTCCATGTCGCAATCCAAAAAAGGAAACAAAATGGTCATAAAGGTTGCAACCAGCGGTTGCAATCATTTTTATATGACGCAAAGGTGGTAGCAACCATCATCAAAAGTTGCAGCCGGTATCCTTAAAGAAGAGGATTCTTTGAACTTAAAGAAGAGCGATTCTCTGTACAAAGTATTACACTTCAAAGGTTCAACGGGATAGAGACATTAAATATCAAAGACGTAAATGTGATAATCTACCACAATAAAAATTAAGAAAGAACTAAATACTAATATATTTTTGTCAGAAATCAATAGATTTACAAAATGAAATAGATAATTTAAAAACAACACAAGACCATCTGTTGATAAAATTAAAGGTATTGTAAATTTGTTTTATTTAAAAAAAAAATTTTTGCAAAGGTCATTTTTTTAAAGGAATTTTCCACAGTTTTTAATGAACAAGTCAACTGTTCTTTATAATTATCAATAGAGAGAAAATAAACCTCCAATTAATGATCCTAATGAGTTTGTTAAAATGATTTATCAAAATATGAATCCTTCTTCAAAATCTCAAGATTTAAACTAATATTAAATTGTGATTCAAATATTTTGATATGTGGTCATACATATCATAATATATGTTTTCAAGAATTAAATTGCAAATGTCAGCATCACTTAAATTATTTTATTAAAACTTTAACACATTATGAAAAATCAAATGATAATCCAAATATAATCAATTGATAATGATATTCCTAATATAACAACTTGGAATTTTAATTATTTTATCTTTATGAGAAGATTTTGGTGCCAAATTAATTTCATAGTTTGTTTAATACTGAGAAGTCAGGAGCGGGGATAGAAATCGTTATTTACAAAAACATCAAGAAATTTTGTCCAAAAAAATAAATTATTCTTTTTTTTCAAGATCAATACAACAAAAACATGGCATCCAAACATGTAGATTATCATCATTTTTTATTTGACAAGAATCTTTCTGGAGTAATTGCACCAAGATCATGCATGATGAATCACCCAAATATCAACAGTTGCTATAGTGTTTTTGGGATTATTATTTGGCCATAGCTCAATTCTTTGTTGGTAAGGCGTGTGATAAATGTTTAATTATTGCATTAATATATTTAAAATTCTAATAAATAATATATAAATGAAAATTTCCTTTACACCCAAGGCTCCAATTGCTTCTTTATTTTGTATTTCCTGATTGATTGATTGATTGATTAACAGTAAGTGATTAAATAAATTTTTAATTTAAATCAATAATTACAGTGTATTTGGCTATGAAAGTGCTTGGTTGAATGCGGGATTTGCTATTTCCCGTTTCTTTTGATTTATTTATTAACTTGCCCATTAGAAAAAAACTTCTGAATGGATGATATTCATTAGAAGACACCATTTTTGACAACGTTATTTTATTATTATTTATTATTTATTAGTATTGGTATTGATGTTGATGCCCAAATTAATTAATTTATGATAATCGAGCGTGAATACACAAAATGTGATTTTTTTTAATTAATAACATTTAATTAAACATATATGATTTTTTGGTAAATTTTCTCAAAATCCGATAGTCTCTATATAATCAAAGGAAAATATCTCAGAGTGTATGATTTCCAATAACTCGAAAAATCAAGATTTTCGAAAAGGCCCAAATGAACGTTTTAGTGTTGTTTAAATTAGTCACCAATGTAATCAAAAAAGGTAATTATTGGACATTTGATTGAAGTATTTGTCAGTTCATCAGAAAAAGTGAATAAATTATTACCTTTTTAAAAAACACTTACGTGAGAGGGTTTACACCACAAGCACCTGCATTTATTGCCATTTATATTTGAAAGTCATCATATATCTTCTTTGAAGCAAAACCTGTTGCCATTGTAATCGACAAATTGTCAGGTGATTTGCTTGTAAATCAACACACTGTTTTGAAACCAATCCATATACGTTTTTGTGCTCATATTTTGAATTTAGTTGGTTAAGTAAATAATGTTGCAACTTTGGTTCTATTTATTAAATATGAATTTAATTAATAAACACCAATTCAGTGAAACCTGGAGTATTTCAAAAGGATAATAGATATTTGAACCATTTAAGAAAAGTTCATATCCTAGTATAAACTTGGCTTGAAATGATTTCGTCTTTGAATTCTAGTTAATAAATAATTAGTTGCCCAGAAGATAGCAAATCAATATTTAATCAAGTTTTATCCATTTTTGCCGCGGATATTCAGTCCTCTTTTGTTACACGAGTATCTGTAAATTTTGTTGTTATTTGTCACTGGCGTGGAACTTATTTGTTTCCCATTTTAAGGGTGTATAGTCAGTCCATGATGTCATTTAATTTATCAAATATGTAATTACACTTCCTGTGACATATCGTTCGACTAATATGATGATGATAAATGATCTAAACTTTTTCAAAAATTCGATATATTTTGGAATTCTCATGCAAGCAATCTTTTATTCGTTAAATAAATAAT